CAAAGGAAGCCCCCTCGGAGGCGGGGACGGAAAGGGGTCCCCCACCTCCCTCTCCGTTCAGGACGCCCGGGGGGGCCTCTAGGAAATCCGGGGCTCACTGTGTGGTCCCCTAAAGCGGGTCAAAAAGCACATACTAGAAATATAAACCGGGTATTTAAGGGGGGAAAAAAGGAATTATAAGAATAAGCTTCTTCCGCCGGACACCCCCACCCCAGGGGAGGCCGAGGGGCTGCGGGAGGTGTCCCCCCACCGCGCACCCTTTGTCCCTTCCCCAGGAACTCGGCCCCTTCCGAGTCGCCAAAACCCACGTCAAGCTGGATCCTCGCGGCTCCCCCTCCCACCCCACGCCACCCCTCTGCTGGCAGGACCCCCAGCCGAGACCCCAGCTGCCCCTCCAAGAGGCCAGGATCCCTCGTGCCAAGATTTCCTGCCTTAAAGCCTGGGGAGGGGCCTGCGGGGACAGTGCCCTGTCCCCCCACCGACCTGGGTGTGGCCGGCTCCGACATGCGGGTAAATTCCAGATGTCCCCTGCCCCCAGCGCCCTTCGGTTTAGTTCACTTTACCTGTCGGCACCTTGATGAACCGCACACAGGGAAAGACGCATCCCAGGAACCAGAAGACGACGCCAGAATCCAGGAGAGGGAAGACGCACAGGGGTCCCTTGCGGGGTGCACACCCGGGGAACCCCCCAACTCACCACCCCTCCTCCTCATGGGTCGCAGAACTGATCCCCCTGTCCCGCAGGGGGTGGCAGCTGGGGTGAACCTTGCATTTGTTGAAGAACTTGGAATCTGCTTGCTCTGTGTTTTGCCAAAAAAAAAAAAAAAAATTTACAAAGAGGAGGGGCCGGAAGTGAAGGGGAGCACCCACCCCTGCCCCACCCCACCCATCTCTTCTATTTGACCTCCAAGACTGGATTTCCCAAGACCCGCCTTCCTGCGGTTCCAAATCCAGAGACTGGAAGGGTCCCCCCCTGGAAAACCCCCCAACCCCGACTCCCTTGGCTGCCTCCCAGGGAGGGGCCCCCACCTCTCCTGATGAATGCAAAAGACATTTCTAGTGAAACCCCTTCCCCAGGTAAAGGCTACCTCACTCAACGCTCACGTTCGTGATTGGAAAATCACGTCTGATACCAAAGATTCTCCCCAGGACTTGTGCTGGATGTAGGGTCCCCTCCCCCTCTCTACCCGGTGTCCCCTCTGCCCCCCGACGGAGAACAAGAGAGAGAGAGAGAGAGAGAGAGAGAGAGAGAGAGGGCAAGGTCGGTGAGTGCCTTTTTCTTGAACCAAAGATGTGTATGGAGTGTCCTGTGTCCTTATCTGCCCCAAGGTCCTCTCTTTTCATAAGTGTTGCTCCTAGACCTGTGGGGATGGAGCGGCACTGTGAGAGTGGAGAGTCCCGGGTCCCCACTTGGCGACTGACCCCTGGACAAGCAGATGCACACACGCACGCAAACACACGAACACCCACACTGACCCTGTTCCTTTTTGGGGAGACCCTAGGCACTAGGAGCCCTGTTCTGGGAAACTGAGGCCCCCTTCATCCCTTACATACCCTCTTCTGGATTGGCGGGTGACAGGGTGACGGATCTTCTAAGCCCAGCTGGCCTAGGGCCCACAGAACCATTTTCTTTTAAAAGTAGAAAGCAGGCCGGGGATTTAGCTCAGTGATTCTGCCATCTGCCTCACAAGCACAAGGTCCCAAGTTTGATCCTTGGTACCCCAAAAGAAAAAAAAGTAGAAAGCAAAATAATGAACTTATAGGGAAAAGAAAATGTTATAATATGCTATATTTATAGATATGTTCTCATTTTTTCTTTGTGGTGCTGAGGATGGAACCCAGGACCTCATGCGTGCTAGGCAGACCCACACCAGTCAGCCACAAACCCAGTCCTGGGATTGAACTCGGGACATTGTGCTTGCGAGGCAGGCTGCAGAACCACTGAGCTAAATCCCTGGCCCTCTTTTCTTTCCTTTTTTTTTTTTTTTTTCTGGTACCAGGGATCAAACTCGGGTCCTCACACTTGCCAGGCAGGCAGTGGAACCACTGAGCTAAATCCCCTTTCCTTTCCTTTCTCTTTTTTAAGGGAAAAGGTTTCTTTGGCTCACAGTTTGTAGAGGTTTCAGTCCATATTCAGCTGGCTCCAAGACAGGGTGGCACATGGCAGAGGGGAAACAGTTCATGGTGGGACAAGGCAGTCAAAGCAAGCAAGCAAGGGCTCTTTTTCATGCACGTGTAGGGTTTTATTTGTGTGGTTTTTTTCTGTGTGTGTTTTGTTTCGTTTTTGAGACAGGATCTTGCTCTGTAGTGCAGACCAGCCTTGAACTCCAAATGATACTCCTGCCTCAGCCTCCTGAGTGCCAGGATAAGAGGTGTGTGCCACCATGCTCAGCCCAATGGGTCCTCCACACACACACACACACACACACACACACACACACACACACACCAGCTCCGCACCCTTCCCTAGCCCAGCTCCCAGCCTCCCCCCCACTATCTGGTCCTGTGAACAAACCAAAGACCCTTCCCATGCAGGGAACCTCCCTCCAGCACAATTCCTTCAAGCCTTTGACAATTCTCTCAGAAATACCTCAAAATATTTAATGTCTAGTTTATGTGACAAAAGAAAGTTCCTTAGCTAGTTTTTGGACGACGTGACTTGAAGCTTTGTACAGTTAGATTATAATTTTGCAGGCCACGGCGTGTTTGTTTGACCTTCCTGTGGGAGACACACTGAATGTTGGGGCGGCGAGGCTGGTGCTTGGAAGGCCAGGCGGGGCAGGTGACAGGACCAGCGGCGTTTACAGATTTCTTATTTAAACGAGTCTTTTAGGAAAGAAGGAGAGCAAGAGAGAGAGAGCAAGAGAGAGAGAGTGAGAGAGAGAGGAAACTTTCTGTTCTCTGGCTTTTTCTGTTTCTTGTTTTTTGAGTCATGTCTTATAAGAGTATTTATTATTCTATGTGTTCTGTGTCCAGATGTAATTTAAGAAAAAAAAAAGAAGAAAAATGAAAAAAAAAAAGACGAAATGGAATTTGATTTGGTGCATGGCTAATGTACTCTTTCTTGGCGATAATGTACTAAGTGATGGGTGGGGGTGGGGGGTCCATTCTGAATCTGCATTTCATGCCCGAGTCAGTGCTGTCCCATGGTCTTTGTGCTGCTCTGTGTCCCTGTTTCCCCTTTCTGAGGAGCTGTGTGTGTCCAGCAGGTGACCAGGCCCCAGGTGGATAGCCAAAGGGGTCCTGGAGCAAGCCAGACCTGAACTCCACAGGCTCCACAGGCCACCCTTGCTAAGCAGGGGAAGGTCCCTAGGTCCCTATCCTGGGTATACACGGCCCGTCGTGGGTGTTGTGGAAGGCCAGGACTCCGCCCAGCCCCACCCGATTGGTTTAACTTTAGCATGTATTCCTAAGTGTCTTGTTCAGAGGAGAGAGACAATCAGGCAATTTGAGTCTCATCGCCCATGGTGGCAGGGGGCTGGGGTGCACCTCAATTACCCAGATCCAAAGGGCCTTTCTGAGCCCCCCCTTTGTCCCCAGTGCCACCCGGCCCCCCTCAGCCTCTTGGCCCTGGGCTTTCTGACAGGCCCAGGAGCAGGGCCGTGCATTTCTGCATGGGCACTCCCTTCTGGAAAAGAGTCCCGCCCACTGCCCCAATTCCAGCATCAGGAAAGCAGGCCCTGGGACCATGGCTCCTCTGGGCCTTTGATTTACCCCTGCAGTGGCCCTGCAGGTGGGGACGGAGGTCAGGCCCAGAGTGGAGTTGTGGTAACAGCTTTCCACCATGAGCCCTGAGCTGCAGAACAGGGTGGGGTCCAGGGGAGGACAGCAGTGAACCCCAAGGAAGGGCCCTTCTCTGCCCAAAGTGGTCCCACCAAAGCCCTGCCATTCAGCCCCTGGCTCATCCTGGTGGTCCCAGGGGATGCCCGAGGGCCAGGTCATCTGAGCAGGGACAGGTGGCCCCCCCATCCCCAGCAGTGTTTTCAGTGCAGATCAAACAGTAGGGGCACTTGCAGGGATCTCTGGGGGGTCACCCCAGTGCCCTCCCCTCCGGGGCAGGAGAGGAGACAGCCCCCCCGCCCCACCCTCAGGCGACGGGCTCAAAAGGGAAAACAAACTTAGATCATCCTTGTTAATCATTCCTGTGCTCAGTTTGCTGTTTCGGTTTTTTCTTCAATAAATTATTTTCTAGACACTCAGCTGGGTGTGTGTGTGTTGGCCCGTGAGGGGTGGGGGGGTGCAGGAGGGGGAAGGGGACGCAGCCACCCTGAGGATGGGGACGGGAAAGGCGGGGAAAGGAGCCCCATTCTCTCTGAGCCCCTACTCGCCCACCCTCTTCCACAGAACTCTTGGGCATCAGAGGGACGAGCAGGGGCCGCCCAGCCACACGTCATGGTGCAGACCTCAGCGGGACTTCCTCTGGCCGTCCGTTGCTTCCTGAGGTCTGAAGTAGAAGGCGTTTATTTGAAGAGCGTGGGACTGAGGGGCCCACAAGCAGGCAGTGGGAATCAAGGGTACTACTGTGCAAAATCTATGCCTGCCTTCGTTTCTGTTTCGTGTGTGTGTGTGTGTGTGTGTGTGTGTGTGTGTGTGTGTGTGCACGCACACGCACACTGAGATGGAACCCAGCTCCTTCACACTGAACTGCCCTCAGCTCATATTTTTGTTTGTCTTTTGAGACAGGGTCTTGCTATGCAGTTCAAGCTGTCCTTGAACTCACTTTATAACTCACTTCAAACTCACAGCGATCCTCCTGCCTCAGCCTCCCGAGTGCCAGGACGACATGCATGTGCCTCTAGGCCTGGCTATGCCACGCTTTGTGTTTCGCTGTCAGGAAAACCAGGAAAAAGATATTCCTTGTGGCTTCCAACAGAGGCCTGGAGGAAAGGAAGCAGCCCAAACAAGCACTGAGGTCAGGTGAATCCTGGTTTATTAGAAATAGTGAAGGCTGCAGCTCCTCTGTCTTCTGGTTCAGGCCTCCCACTGGTCAGTTGGCCAGCATAGGGAGATGGCTGTTCCCCCTGGGGAAGTGGCACCTTGCCCTCGAAGGACTCTGGCAGCCACTCCATGGGCGACGGCTCCCTCTCCACAGACCCAGAGTCGGTCTCCATGGGCTGCTCGCTCAGGGACTCCTGGGTCTGGCTGGGACAGGTCCCCACGGCCACCTGGGGGAGCACGGGTTCCTTCTGCCAGAAGGGCGTCCAGCAGGGTGGCTTCTCCTCCGGGGCTTGTACCCTGCTCCCAGAACTCTGACACCAGGATGACGGCTTGCCGTGCTGGGACAGTGGTGGCTTCTCCAGGGAAGGCTTGGATGGCCCATGCTGGCAGGCGGGCGGCCTGCTGGTGACAGCGGGCTGGTTTCCCAGGCCATCGACACCAGAGGCCGCGCTCTGCGGGGCAGACAGCTGTGAGTCCTGGGACCGCGCTCTGGCCCTGAGCTGGGACCGGCTCACCAGGAACGATATCTTCCTGGGCTCCCGGGGCATCGAAGGCAGAGCCTCTTCCTCGTCGGTCAAGATCCCAGAGGCGAAGTTCATGTCACTGCTGTCCCTGCGTGGCCTACGCAAGATTGTGCCCTGCGTGATGAGGTTCGCATAGCCCTCGTGGTGCGAGAAGGCATAGCTGGAACGCCGGGCGCGGGACTCCCTGCGGAACTGAGGCAGGGTCTCCTCTGAGGCCTCCTTGCTCGGGGCCGCCTCCGCCTCCTCCTCCTGCAGAGCAAAGGATCAGAAGGCTCATCGGGCTTCAGGGTTTGCTGCTTGGTCTAGGGTCACCTGCCTCCTGGTGGGGAACACTCAAGAGAGCCAGGTCTGTCCTCGTCCTGTCCATTTAAAGCCACAGTCCCTCCCGGGGAACTGACTCTGGGCCAGCCAATCAGAGCCCCTCCTTGGAGCCTGATTCTGAACGAGCCAATTGAGAGTCCGCACCGTTACTTGACTCTGAACCAGCCAATTGAGAGTTCCCACGCTTACCTGACTCAACCAGCCAATCAGAGTCCCATCCCTTATTGGGCAAGCCAATCAGAGTCCTTCCTTGGAGCCTGACTCTGAGCCTGCCAGAGTCCCTTCCCTTACTTTTAAGGCAGGGCCTAAAGTGATAAATTGCCCAAGCTAAACTCAAATCTGTGGTCCTCTTGCCTCAGCCTCCCAGAGAGCTCAAAGATTTTGTTTGGTTTTGACAGAATCCTGCTGAACTGCACAGGCTGGGCTCAAACGCACATCCCTCAGCCTCGGCTTCCCCCTTCCTTCCTTTTCAAGGCTGAGTAATATTCCACGGTGCAACTGCCTCATTCGTTGATGGACACTTGGGCCATTTCTAAGTCTCCCCTTTTGCCTAAACCATTCTAAGGCTGTTTCTGGTCACCCCACTCCAAATCCAAGATGATTCCAGGTGGGGATCCGGTGGCTTTGGTGTGAGAACACAGGGTGACCTCTGGGTGACGGCGGCCGTCTCTGCCCCAGGATGTGTGGTCCCCACTCAGTGAGAGCGGCCCCGACAGGACCATGTGTCCACTGGGGGTCCCGGGACCCTCACCCTGAAGCGCAGTTTCCTGAGCTCATGGTGGAAGATGCGGAGGGCCAGGAAGGTCAGTGTGTTCACGGTCACGTTCAGCAGCAACACCAGCAGGGACGGGGCCTGGCTCAGCACGTTGCGGAGGACATCTGAGGATTAGAGTAAATGTCAAGGCGGAGCCGGCTCCTCCTCCACCCCTGCCACTTCCTGGGGACGTTCCTCCCCGTGTCCACCCACGTCCTGTCCCCTGCCGGGAGCTCACACAGAAATGGGAAGGTCTTTGGGAAGAGCTGGTAGAGCCACAGGGTCTGGGTGGCAAAAGTCATGGCGGCGTAGCAGCCCAGGCTGAGCAGCAAGGTCCCCAGGAACAGGAAGGTCCAATACCTGACAACTAGCATGATCTGGGCAAGGAGGATAGAGGTCAGCAGGGACAGGGACCGAGCCCCCAGCATCCAGGATGGGCCCTGGTGAAGCCAGGAAGCGGAAGACAGCAGAGAGAGCTAGGCGTCTGGCACATGCCTGCCATCCAGTACTCGGGAGGCTGAGGCAGGAGGATCGCCATGAGTTCAAGGCCAGCCTGGGCTACATAGTGAGCCCCTGTCTCAAAGCCCCTGCCCCAAATGATGTCAGTGAAGATGAGGCCTCTAAGACCCTGACCGAGCCCCACCCCCAGCCCGGGTTGGGACTAGGTGGCCCCACCTACCTCGATGGTGATGGTCAGCAGGCTGGACAGGGCCACCACCACCGAAAAGGACTGGTAGTCACTGAGGCTGTTGGGCCCCGCTGTGTCACGGATGAGCAAGAAGTTGACCAGGGAGGTGAGTATGCCCTGGATGACGGCTTTGAAAAATACCCAGTAGTTGAAGAGCTCATCTTTCTGGCCAGCCGCGTACAGTTCAGGCATCTGTAGGCTCTGCTTGGCGCTCACATCCTGGGGAGAGGGGTGGCAGATTCTTAGGCCACGGCCAAGCTGGAGGACCCCAAAAGGAGACAGGGTCCCCACTGGCCATTCCTCCTCACATGATATGAGTTCAAGTGAATTAAAATGAAACGAAGCGAGCAGGGTGCAGGGCTGCACGCCTGTCAACCCAGCTACTCGAGAGGCTGAGGCAGGAGGATCCCAAGTTCTAGGTTCTCAGGGTCTGTGCAAATACTGAGACATATTATTATATAAGGGATGTGAGCACCTTCCATTTGGGTTTCAGAGGCACATCCTGGAACCCATCCCCCACGGGCACCGCAGGGTGCCTGTGCCAGTATTTCACTACAATTTTTAAAATTTAAGGGGGAGCCGGGATATAGCTCAGCAGTGCCTTACCTGCCTGGCAAGCATGAGGTCCTGAGTTCAATTCCCAGCACTGAAAAAAAGTAACCTAGGGGCTGGAGGTGCGGCTAGTAGTAGTGTGCCTGCTTGGGAAATGCAAAGCCCTGAGTCCCATCCCCAGCACCACCACCAAAAAAGGCTGCTTGGTATGGTGCTACACACTTGCCATCTCAGCATTCAAGAGGCTGAGGCAGGAGGATTGCCACAAGTTGAGGCCAGCCTGGGCTACATAGTGAGCTCAAGGCCAGCAAGACCTGGAACACAGCAAGACCTTGTCTCAAATCCCTCACCACCACCACCACCAAAAAGAGAAATGAAATGTCAAGTCCGGTTTCTGGGCCCCACGGCTGTGCTCAGAGGCTCACACCTGGCCAGGTGTGGCTGTGGCTTCTGTAGTGGGCAACATGGCGTGGACATGTCCATCATCCGGGATGCTCTCTGGGACCCCCTTACTTTGGACAACTTAGGTGGGGCCTCTCGGAATTTGGGGGAGACACATGTAGCCAAGATCAGTGGACTGAGGGCCTGGATTGTGGGATTCGGGGTCCCACAAAGAGAAGGCCATCTCCAACAGCCACGCTGAGACAGCAGAGCTCAGCTAGGAGCAGATATGATGCAGTGGACCTGGCCTCCCGGTGCCATGCGGTCATCTGCTGCCTGGTGACACCCAGGCAGAAGGCCCTGATTGTGGCGCTGGTCAGGAAATACCAGCAAGCTGTCACCCTGGCCTGCACCCCACCTGGACCTCACGCTGGGTTCCAGGAGAGTGGCCGGCCTAGACCCCATACCCAGCTCACCTGCTCAAAGAGCCCCATGTAGAGGACCGGAAAGGTGCTATAGAGCAGGTTGAAAAGTGCCAGGAACCAGCCTTCATACAGCGACTGCGGGAGGGACAGAGG